GGGAAAAAAAAAAAAAAAAAAAAAAAAAAAAAAAAAAATCTGTGAAAGGTGGGCCGTGTTCACTCTGACGGAACAGCAATCCAGGACCTCCAAACCAGGCTGGGACACAGTGGGGAAAGGAGGGAGTACAAACTGGGGACTAACTAGATGCTCCCTAAAGTTGGCCTCAGGTTGCCTGCCATCTGGGAAGCAGGAAGTGGAGGAGCCTGAAGGACTGAAGAGGTTAAACAACTGTGGATGACAAAGGCTTACATTCTCCGCTACTCCTGATTTAGCCCACTCTCTGGATGCCCATGAAAGGCCAGGGCTGACAAGCAAGCTTCATCTCACAGTCAAGACCAGCGGATTCTACAGAGACACTGACACTGCCCTCTGAGACAGGGTCCTCAGTTCCAGCATTCACTCCCAAACCTCAGATGCCATGGATACTTGGGTCTGGCGGCTCTACTCTCTGGGTTCATTTCTGTCTCCCAGTGGGGCTCCGGGGATCTCTGGGCTTCACTTTGGACACATTCTCTCTTCTCTCTCTGTGTGACACCAGCACAGCCTCCCATTCATAATTTAACCATCACATGCTGTGACTGCCATCTTCCTCATTGGGAGTGCCCTGTGAACTTGGCTGGCCTTTCCAATTTAGCACCCCAATGTGCAGGGAGAGATCCTGGATACCTGTACCACTGTGGGCATGGTCACAGGTATGTAGAGGGGTAGGATAAAGAGCGAGGAGGAGGGGTGTTTGCTCTATTTCAGGGTTCTAGTCTGGTCTTGAAAGGCTGCCAAGACTAACCTGGGTTTCGGTGTAAGTAATATTCCACAATAAAATACCAGTATCATTCTTATCTGTATCCTGCTATAATTCCGCTACACCAATGTCCTGCTTTAGATACAGCAACAGAATGACTCTCCCAGGTTGTTTTAGATCAGCAGTTCTCAACCCGCAGGTAGCAACCCCTGCACATCAGACATCCTGAATGTCACACAATGTACATTTGATTCACAACAGTCGCAAAATCAAGTAGCAACAAAAATAATCTCATGGCTGGGGTCACCACAGCACGAGGAGCGGTATTAAAGGGTCTCAGCACTAGGAAGGTTGAGAACCACTGCTTTGAGGAGACACAAGCTGAATACTTTTTCAAAACACACAGAAAGAGAAATGAAAACAAATTAACAGAAGGGGATATTTCCCCTTAGATACAATGTTGGGCAGTCGAATTTATATTTTCCAACTACCACAAAATTAAAATATACAGCAGCACCACACGTAAGCAAAATGAACAGGCCAGTGATGGGTAGATGCGCACACTGAGCCTCAGGGTGTGGTGGGCTGGGAGGATCACCACGGCTTCTGGGGACCCATGAACGTGGGAAGGAAACCTCACACAGACCCAAACTGAAGGCCACACGGCCTAACGAAGCCAAAGCCTAAGGCGGTCAGAGATGAACTGTGCAAGTCCATTCTAGATTAAAATATAGCACACCGAATGGTATGTTAGACTAGGAAAAAGACACTTAAGTTACAAACTGGGGCACATGGCAGAAGTGGAGTATACATAGCAGAGAGTGAAAGAACCAAACCAATGTTAAATCCCTCACCAGGATTGCCGCAGCCAGAGAATCCTCTCTCTCTCCCCTCCCTCCCTCCCTCCTCCCTTCCTCCCTTCCCTCCTTCCAGAATGACATCTCTTACATTTCTCAAATGGTCCAGAAACAAAGTAACACATATAGACTATGAGCAAAGTCAGCCATGGATGACTGCACGAGAGGCAGCTGGGAGGCACCGGTGGACTCACCATCCTCCTGAGGATCCTCAGCAGAAGCTTCTGGTCCTTTGGGTCCTCCTTGGTCACCAGGAGATCAGCAAAGGTCTCCAGGTTCTCTGGGGACAGGCTGTCTGGGTTTTCTCCTCCATACAGCTGCACCAGGATGGACAGGCACTTGGACGAAACCTCAGAGATCTCAGGATCCTCATTGGGAAGCTGCAAGAGGGCAGAGAGGGCCAGCTAAGTCCTACCACCACCTGTAACTCTAGGTCCTATGGAGCCAATGACTCTGACCTCCGTGGGCTCCCCATATATGCATATACCCCCTCCACACACACATGTACACACAATTAAAAAAAAAAAAAACTTTGTAAAAACCATTAGGACTTGTTCACATGGCCATCTTTCTGAATTCTTTATTCTGATTGGTCCATCCAGGTATCTATTCTACCACCAGTCACACACTGTTGAGGGGTTGTCCAGAGCGTCACTCTCTTTGGAACAATTTTACATAGTACTGCTTTTTAAATTTGACTTTCTGCATACTCCTTGTCAGTTTACACACCCAGGATTTTTAAAAAATGAATTTTCAGGTGTAATTAGCACCATAGTGGCAGATATGTGATTACATACGATTATACAGTGTGGTGTGCCTGACGGTCGGTTCTTTATTGTGTGTGTCTGTCTCTTGCAGCCTGGATGGAATGACTCAGTTCTGAGCATAGTCTGCACTTGGAGACAGGGCTGGTTTCTCTTCCCACTCCCACTACTTGGAAGTGCAGTACCATGGCCACTAAGAATGGCAACCACGACAACACGACTCTCTCCTAATCCCAGGGAAAGGGGACTGAGCCGATCACGACTAAATACAGTGTTGGCTGTAGATTTTTCATGGGCATTTTATCAGCTTGAGGTTTTCCATCTAATCCTAGTTTGATGAGAATTCTTATCAGAAACTAATGTGAGACTTTGTCAACTGCTTTTTCTGTGTAGACTCAAGTTATATCCAATTTCTTCATAATACCGTGTATCTGTTAGGATGTATTAACTGACATTGGCTGAACAAACCTTGTGTATCTAGAGGTGATCCTGCTGGGCCACTGTGTTCCGCCACATACAGGTGAGATCAGTTCACCAACACTGCACTGAGGACTGCCAAGATATTGGCCTGTGTTTTGGTTTGTGGTGTTTTGTGTGTGCAAGGCACATGTATATGTATGTACGCGTGTTTGTGGTGTTTGCTGGTGTTTTTCTCTTGCTTTTCTGGCCATTCTTTGAAGTCAACATCAGTGTGTATGTGTGTGGTGATATTTTTCTTTTGCTTTTCTGGTCATTTTTTTAAGTCAACATCAGTGTGTGTGTGTGTGTGTGTGTGTGTGTGTGTGTTGACATTTTTCTTTTGCTTTTCTGGTCAATTTTTTTTATTGAAGTCAACATCAGATTGACCCCATAAATGGATTGAGAAATATTTTCCTCTCTCTCATTTTCTGTAAGAAACTATGTAAAACTGTTGCCCAATCTTCTGTTTGGTAGAATATTCTGGTGAAATTATCAGGGTCTGGACAGATTAGAAATTCAGTTTCTTTAATGACTCTAGAACAACTCAACATTATCTGTAGTTACAAAGGAACAGGTTGCTTTCTTCATGAGCACAAAGTTGTCGGGAACATTCCTTAGGGCTCTGCTCGGGGGCTGTGCCCACGCCTTCCAGACCATCCCACGCCAGTTATCTGTTTCTCTAATCTTTGTCAGTAAGCTTTCAGTTTTGCTTTTTTTTCCCCCAAAGAGTTAATTTTTTAAATTTAATTGGTTTTCCTCTTTTTATTTATTTTGAGTTATTTTATATTGACTTATTTTATTTCCTAAGGTAGCACATGCAGTTTCATGGCAGCATTTTTATACATACGTGTTACTGTACTCGGCTCTTATTAATTACCTTCCCGAGATGTGTGCTGATCCCCTCCCCCTCCCAGTCTCATTTCCCCCCTCCCCCTCCCACCTTCCCTTCTCTTATGAGTTTTGCTTGCTTTGCAGCACCAGGGATTGAGCCCTGGCCCCAGGAGTGCCTGGCAACCGCTTCACCGCTAAGTGCTGGCTCTAGGACCCATCCATTCTCCAAAATATCCTCGCTGCAGAACCCAGGCTGGCCTCAACCTCCCAAGTGCTGGGTCATACACAGCATCCCCATGCCAGGCTGGGCTTTCCTTTTTCTACTTTTAGTTTCTGGTATGATAATCCTTTCTCTAAATGATACTTTCAGCTACATCCTGAGAATTTGGATGTATTTTCATTTTAGTTTAATTCTATGTATTAAAATTTTCTTTGAGAATTGAAGTGTGTTTGCTTTTACATGTTAGAATTTTATTACTGACTTCTACCTTGGCTCCACTGCTGTCAGGGAAATAACTCTAGGAGAAAGGATAGCTCTAGCTCACAGCATCCAGGATGCAGTCCGTCAGGGCGGGGCTGGAAGCAGTTTCTCACACTTAGGAGGCAGAGGGGTGTGTGTGTGTGTCACCACTCAGCTGCTTTCTGCACACAGTCATAGTCAAGGACCCGAGCCAGGGAATGGTGCCGCCCACAGCGTGTAGTTGCCCCAGCTCTATTAATGTAATCAAAATAATTCCTACAGCCATGTGCAGAGGCCCTTTCCCAAGAGCTTCTAGGCTCTGTCACCTTGACAACTAACACCATTGCAAATGGCTTATTCTACACAGAAACTTCACTGGCTCATCTTCGTTGTTTCTCTGAACTCCTGATTTTATTTATAGACTCAACCACATCCAATTAAATTTGAACTTAAAATAAACATGTTGTCATTGTAAGTTAAGTACACCCATTTGGCATCTTGTATTTTCTCTGATGGCCTAGTTTCTCAGAAGCTTTCTTCCTGGCCACCTGGAGTATGTTGTGGAATGATGAGATATGAGCAGACACATGCATGCAGCCTGGGCATAACTCTAAGGAGAGACACACTTGAATTCTAGTAACTGTTTTAAAGTAATTTAAAATCACAGTTGGGGTGTGTTTGTTTCTCTTTAGTCAATACATCCAACACAATGTGTTTCAAAAATCTTTCTCATTGTGTATTCTATTTTAAAAATATTACCTACCGCAGTGCTTTGCCAAAAATTATATGGGGATACTTAGTTCCAGAGAAGAAAATACATTAACAAAGAAAGAACAAAAATAACTTCATAGCAATGTTTCCTGCCCCTTTGATGTTGCTAACGGCGCCCGGAGACAGATCTCTACCCTGTTGGGACGTCGTTTACAGGATTCCACCCAAGGCCATCAATCTCATGCATCAGGCTTGCCCACCCGGCTGCAGTGAGAATATCACTTAGTGCTGGAAATCCCCAGTGTCCTGATGCGGCTCCCTCACCGCCGGCTCTCCACCCAAGCACATCACAGTCTTAACCCTGAGGATTTAGGAGGAAAAACACCAGAAAAACACCCGCCACTCCCTTTACTGATTTGATTTTAAGGCTACACATCACAGACTTAGAACGCATCCCAAAGACAACCCGAAAGGTACGGGCGGCACAGACGGGCCCTGACTTGTCCTGAGTAGCATCCACACTGCCCTTCAGAGTTTGCTGTCAATGCCAGGTGGCAGGGACACAGCTCCTTTGAAAGGTCCTTCCCTTAACACAGAATGGTTGAAGCTTCAGAGTAAGAGTGTGTCAACAGTCACTTTAAAGATCAAATACTGACTGATGGCATTTAAAATAGCAAGCTTCACATAAAAACTAGGACTCAGTGGTTTTGGTGTTTTTATTTTTTTCCCACTATAGGAAATATTTGCCACGAAGCCGCATCCCATAGTGAACGTGGCTCCATGAGTTCTCTGGAGTCACAGGTCCCACTGTCCTCACCTCCGAGAGGTGACACCCATTTTATACGCTGATGTGTGCACTGCCATCCCCCACAGAAATGACTCGATTACTGGCTTCTGGTCAGTCCTTTAAACACTTTATAGAGCACTGGTTCCACCCGTTTACAACAGCACAAGAGGGGAAAGAGGAGACAGAGCCCAGGGGCACAGCCAGGAAGAAGTGAGGCATGCTGGGAGGAGCAGGGCGGGCAGGCTCCAACAGGGAAGCAGAAGATGCGGCAGAGACAGCATCAGGAGGCTGAAGGAGCACTGGACTGGACAGCCAGGGTCCCCTGACCAGATGGCCAGGCACTCAACACCCATGTGATGGAGACACTGCCAAAAGGAGCCAGGGCTCTAGAGTGTGGGAACGTCTGTCGAAGAGGGAGGAGGGGAGATGGTGCATTTGAAACAGGCGGCTGGGTCGTCTGTGAAGGCATTTCCAGGGAGCTTCACCGACACAGGAAGGCACACCCCGCACTTGGGCAGCACAATGCCCTGGGTTGAATAAAAAGGAGGTGGGGGCAGCAAAACTCATCCACTGCATCTGCTGCTCTCTGCCTCCTGACTGTGGACACGTGACCAGCCGTTTTATGTTCCTGTGACTACACCCTTCCCCACCATGAAGTGTGAATTCACCAAGATCAGCCCGTCCTTCCTGCCACAGTGTCATGGTTATTCTCAGGAAGTCCCGATGCTGAGGGTGCAGGGGCCATGAGGTACACACATACCGCACCAGGCCGAGGCTCCTCTGAGGAAAGTCCTCTCAACAGCTGGCCAGAGAACAAGGGCAGGCACCACACTGCACTGAAGCAGAAGGAAAGACTTTCAAGGTTTCCATGCTGAGATCAAAGGCAAATGACATCACCCTGGAATGCATCCAAACCAGGGAGGGTGAAGAAGAAACGGCAAAATCTGGAAATTCCTTCATTCCAGAATCTGGGTGGTAACCTGTGTTTGTGGTACAAGCCTTTCAACTTCTTGGTTGGAAACTTTCATAAAAGTGTTATGGGAAAAGAAAAAGACAGACCGAAAAAGAGATGGATGGCAGTGTGAGTGCTTGGTGCTTGAGGATTTGACAGGAGGCGTCAGGGCTCAGCTGAGTGTGCAGCAAGGAAGGCCAGAGGGTTGGGCGGGAGCAGGGGAGGGGAGCACGGACTGCAGACATGAAGTCAGCCACTCACAGCGGGCTCGGGTGTTACCCTGGGGGGTTATTATGCAAGGGGCTCATAGCTATGCAATTCAAAGGGCTCATAGCAAAAATCCCAATCTGGAAACTATCAACATGCAGGCCCGTGGTGCATGACAACACACGACTGGTTGGAGCTTCAACATCATC